TCGAGTATCGTGTCGATAAGAAAGGTCATTATCTCATACAATAAATGTCAATTCAACAATCGTATTACTCGCCGTTCGATGTTATCAAGTTAACATTGCGCGATAATAGGTCGCAACATGATATATACATATACCGACCAATATTTATCATTGGGTGGCCTACGATCCATTCATGTATGGAAATCAACTGTGTTAAATACCAATGTACCATATATATGTTTTAAAACGGATAATGGTAGAAAATTTGTGCATAGTACATTGTGCGTTAATTTTGTTTAGCTAATAATTGTGTTAGTCTATTTAAATAATAAAATTTTTTATGCGAATTTTTTAATAATTATAATTATGATTACAATTACAAAATATTTTCAAATAAAATAGAGAAGTTGATTTCTATATTCTCAGAGTGCTAACATATATGTATGCTAACATGTCAGAAATTGCGTAATAACGGATTGAATCAAAACGATCAACGATCAACGATCAACTTTATTCAACGTGTAAAACGTAAATGATTATGTACACGATGCTTATTATCAGAATGAATCATGTGAATTATTTAAATCGCAAAACCTGTGATAAAACTGGTAAGGCGCTAAGCAGTTACGATTTACGTAAACTTACAGTCGCTCTAGCTAGCTCTATCTTTGTCAATAAATAAAACATCGTCATTCGATTGACTCTTATAATTAATCCCTTCTACGACTAATTACTCTTGAAATATGTTTCGGGTGAGACTCATTATTATTCAACATAACATTTTAAATATGATATAAAGCTTTTTTTCAATTTTATCCTTCCGTATCCTTCAAATCATAATTCAGCCATTATAACTCGTCAAAATACGAGTAAGTGATGCAACAGTCATTGCATTAATGATGAAAATACAGGCTAAAAATGTAGCCAAATGCTTTCTCCTTCATCATTTATTAGGCAAACTGAGAAACAGAACAAAATTAGCGCATTATCGTTAGGGTACAGCGGGGTAATTTGAATAGTAGAGTAATTTAGATAATAATAAGCATTTGCAAGAATTTAGAAAAAATAAGAGATTTTAAAATACATTTCATTAGATCAGACTGATATAGATTTGATCTAATAAAATGAATCTTAAAATTTCTTATTTTTCCAAAATTCTTGCAAATGCTTACTATTATTCAAATTACCCCGCTGTACCCTAATTACCGTAAAACAGAAATCATCTGGTGGACGTAACCAATCGAAGCGTGCTAGCTTGCTTGTGAATTGTGAGACGATAACTTCGCGAATGTCGTCTTTATAAACTTCTTTGTTGACGAAAGAAAAGAGAAGCCGCATGAAAAGAAAAAAACGTATAGGATAATGACTACGCAGCGTGAAATAAAAACAGAAGGAGAGAAAAAGAGATGAACAAACGCGTGATGGTATTAATGTACGTACTATAATTAGAATGTATATTCGTATATGGCGGATTTTATCGTGTGCCGCAACGGTGAATGTACGGACAATCGTACATGCAAAATGTAATTGCGTTGCACACGAGAAGCTGGATACAATGATGAGTCAGCACTTGTATGCGGGAAAAAAAAATGTTTCAAGCTCAAAAAAACAAGATCTTTATAACAAATTTAAATAAATAACATGTATAAATATTATTAAAGCTATAATAATAATCACAAATTCTGTATAAACGTACATTTGCACATGTTTTAACTAATTGATTATGTTAATCATCATATATTCGCGAAAGCTTATTGTATAATTCTTTTTCGCAATCGACTTTAGATAATGTCACCTTTGAAATGATAAACAGTCGATATTACACATACTGGAAAAACCTCATATCGTTATTGTTACGATTTATACGATTTATACGATTTTTTTTCGACGTAAGAATTTCGTAATATTTCTAAGATTGAATCCAAAGTTTGAGAGTGCAGGATAGGCGCATTCTCAGATCGTCATATTTGAATGGCACGAGAAATATTCCGCGATATAATGTAAAAGGATCGAATGATATTTCTCTCGTTGTGAAAGTGCACACAAATTATTGATAACGCTTGAAAGACGATGCACCAAATATACATTAGGAAAAAAATGCCTTGTAAGTATAACAAATACTTATTGTTAGTTACAATATTACAGTTTTCATACTATACATATGTATATAGTCAATATGTATATATAGTCATCATAGTTTATGAGATTAAATAAAAGAATTAGAAATAGAATTTTTTCTGATTAACTTAAAAATATATTATTTTATTCTGATTCTTCAACGTTAGTATAGCAAAATCTTTGAATATACAGCGCGCGCGCGCGCGCGCGCGCGCGTGTGTGTGTGTGTGTGTGTGTGTGTGTGTGTGTGAGAGAGAGAGAGAGAGAGAGAAAAATATATTAATAGTTGCACATTACAATATAACACTAGTTATAAATTTTTGTAACTTAAGAAATATGACGCAGATAATCCGTTAAACAACTCCAAAAAAAACGAACCTAACTTTCCTACATCCGCTTTTATCAAGAGCGTTTGTTACTAACAATTATTAAGTTCGATAGATGTGTTACACATAAGACGCATATTTTTTTACATGCTGCCATTATATACATATAAATAGATATGTTTACGTAATCGCTGCATCGTATGCCAATCTGTTTTTCTCTATATGATATACACATCTATGCGCGAGTTGTAAGCGTGAACTTGTCCGCAATCGACGATGAAACGATTAACATTGACATATTTATAGCAGTTATAAAAATTGATAAATCGACGCCACTCACGTTCGGTATGCTACAAGACACGGACCTTGAACTTCTCGACACGTTTTGATAAAATAACCGTTGTCGGTCTTTTGGCAGACAAAAAAATAATCGCGATCGTATTTTAAAAGCAAACGTATCAACCTGTTGAAAGAATCTTGTTCACTTCTGACTTTATTATTAATAACTCTTTATTTTATAAAATAACGCGTCTCTACCATTTTTAATTAATATGTATTTATTGCAATTTAATATGTATTTGTGCAAAACCTGCTTTAAATTATATTTAAAAAATTAATACATAAAATTTTGTTAATTGTTGTTAATTGATTTTAAGCCATTTCTTGTTTGCAGGAGATGTCTAAAAGAAATGTCTATTAATATATTAAAGTAATTTTTAAAGGAAATTAAAATAATTATAAAATTAGTAGTGACATTTCACGACGCACGTGAAAGTTTAATTTTCTGAAAAATCATTAATAATATTATCAATTGTTGATATGGAAACTCAGACAATAAAACAAGGTTATCGCATTAACATGGCAAGACTTGTGCAAGAAATGTCATTGCAATATATATTCAGTTTTTCTTTATTGCATTTAACGATAATCTCATAATTTGATAAAAAAATTTAAATAAAGAAAATGGATTTTAAAATACGTTTTAATAAAAAAATATGAAATAAATTTTTTAAATCTTTAATTTGTTAATATAATTATTTAAAATAAAATAATTAAGAATAGAAAACATTACATATAAAAATATGTAATGTTTTAGATTAATCTCTAATATAAGTATAGTATCATTTTTCGATATCAAAATTAACCAAAATAAATACTAATAACTAAAATAAATATGTAATAAAAACAGTATTGCGATTTAAAAAATTAAGTATTTTGTGATCAATATTTTCATAGAGAAAAAAATAATTGGACTCGATACATGAGAAAAGAAGATACAGAGGGACGGAAATTAAAATGATTAAAGTTGCACGATAAAAAGCTGCATGAGTGAGACCTTTTGATATATATTCGTTATATCATTAATGAAACCTTAATAACATTGTTCTGAGTCAAAGAAAGGGAAATTATCGCGGTTATCGCCGTTCGTTGCATCTACTCGGCAATAAATCCACAGTCTATCTCCAACAAAGCGTCTGCACTCGAAGAGAAGAAAAATTCGTTCATTCATCGTCGTTACACTACATAACTAGGTGGTACGTGGAAAATTCTATTACGAATATCAGCATTAGTTTTAAGAAATATTTCCTCATAATTTCACTAAAAAACCTCTGCAATTATCTACATCGCATACTATGAACCAAATGATTGTGACGCAAAAATACTGGTAAGAAAGTGATTTATGATTCGTTAACAGAGAGAAATGCAATTCGAATGTATAATACAATTATTCATTGTAAATAAGATATTTTATAATAAAAGATTATTAAATTGACGTGACGTTTATTACAGTAGTGTTCTGATCCAAGCTCCAGCTTTTCAAAGAATTAACATCATTTTTCACACATTCGTTTAAATTTAATCTTTTCCATAAAATAGCACTCTATACACACAAAACCGTGCAAAATACAAAAGGCATTGTAATCGCATGAAAATGTGACTCGCGTCCGTTATGGCAGACAGTTCTTATCAAAATAAATAGAGGACTCAACTCATGGAGGTCGCCGAAAACGACGGCAATTTGCATCCGCGTATCATAACGGCCTCTTATCGGTCTCGCCGGCAACGATGTAGATGTAGTGCAACCGAATGCAGTCTATCGACGATTGTCCTTTCTGTTTTCGGTGTTCAATTGTGTCAAGGTGCTCAAGAAGGCTCTCCGCTATCGGACTGACCTTCATGTTACCGTGGAATGTTAATTCATTCATGTCATGTATCGCCTCGAGAGGAATAACCTTACGGACCGTCATCAACCCTCGGAAAGTCTCCCCAACGCGAAACGCGACTATAAAAATAGTGCAACTACTCGCAAGTTGCACCGCACGCAAGTACAACAAATTGCATAATGAACGCTCGTTATGCCTTCATCTCGTGAAATGTTGCAAAATTTTTATGAAAGTTTCGCACGAAACTTCAAAGATTTGAAATATGCAATCGATAGCTTGGAAAGAGCAATGCGATTGCAATTTTATTGCGGTCAAAAGAAGTCGCTTTTCAACCAAATTTTTATGCCTATAGATGGATAAGATTCTACTATTCATTAGAAACGTATTTTAAATATACGATAATTTTATTTACCATCGATTTAGATTGTTCCGTAGATGTCTGTGACTCATCTTGTATTCCTCTCTGCATCTTGATCATTTTCTTTCGCAAAACTGAGACGAATGTCGAATACTAATCGACTATTCCTCATCCAAAAACTTGCGTGTATCGTAGAAGAATTTACAGGCCAATGACGTATTCCGCATCAATCGTAGTACCATCGATGATCATTGAGTTCCATACAGGCCACCCAGTATATTTGCAATCCGAACATCGAAAAACATTATTTACGTGTCAATGCAATTGAGTAATAAGATTTATTCTTAAAAATGAGATCTACTTCTGCGTCTTATTGCACGCGAATTTGCGATACGGACCGAAGTGTCATATGGCTCATGACGTTCCGTCATACGGATGGTGACCCCACACGAACAAACACACAACACAATACAATTCAGTAAGTCATATTGTTTTCGCACATATTTTTCGCTCGTGATTCCATTTTAAAGAATTCCTTTAAATCTGCCTGCTTCGTGTGTTTATCGTTCTTCGGATCTCCCGCGCCGGCAACTGATGCCGATACCAACATTGGTAGCAACACGGAATTTAAATCGAACGTGTCGCTACCGTGAATTCGAAAATGCCGAACTCCCATCCCTTACCGGTACCGAGGAACTTGACGTGGTCTCTCGAAAACGATCTCGTTGTAAAAGTGCCACGAGTTTCTTCAGTGCGGGTCCTTCCGAATTCCAAATTTAACGGGTTTGGATGTTCAATTTAAGCAGAACGCAAACGATTATGGTTACGAAGATTCCTTTTCCTTTTTTTTTCGCTCGTGTGATGAATCGCTCTCGCAATCGATCCGATCACATGCAATCCGTGAACCGCAACATCGATACTCGCACTGGCGAGACTGGCTCTCTTTTCGGAGCGACGAAGTCGCGAAGGTGCCGCGAGAAGAACATATGCGCGAAAACAGGGACAGGAAAAGGAGCCGGCACGACCGGCCGGCTCTTACACACACTGACTTCTGACTGGTCGAGCTAGTAGGTGACTCCGGGAACCCCTACCATATCGCATAGCAACCGCTCGTAAGGCGACTGATAACTGCCTTGCACTTCGTCAAGCATCGACAGATCTCGCCGAACACGACGTGTAATATGTATGTGTACGTACACGAATGCTCCGCAAAAAAAATTGAAGCAGACAAGAGACCGAAGAATAACGCAGAGGGGTGGAGGCAAAGAAACTTTGATCAATCTATCGGACTGAAATAATGCATGAAACGTACTAGACACACGAGGAGAACTGGACTTTGTGTCTTATCGTTCAAAAATACAATCCAAAGCTTAGATCGAGAAATAAAACATTTTCTATCTCGATGAAAAATTTCTATGTGTATTAAAGTTACAGAAATAAAGTATCAAAACAATTATCAAGCATACAAGAGTTTCTCACAGCATAGAAATTAGATAGAAAATTTGATTCTCTTTTTATTTTGGAAATCACAGAAATCCGACTTGACTACATCAAATTTTTTTCATCTTAATCTAATTCTTAATCTTAGTCTTAATCTTAGTCTAATTATGTCAATCTTTCTATCATTTAGATGTTAAAAAGAAGTTTCTAAAACGATATTTTTTTTTAATAATATTCTTCCAATATCTTTGATCAAATCTTTTCCTTCTTTTAGATAATTTTTAGAAAGAATTTAAATTATCTTTCGATAATATTCAAATTATCGAAAGCATCCTTTGGCTTGAGTTTTTAGAAAATTCATTAGGAAGGGTTAAGCAAATTGACACTTAGTCGTGAATTTATGTCATAATCGCACCTTCGGAGATGCATCTTCGGAGATGCAATTTCGAAAGAGTCGACGATCCGAAATAAATTTATGGTGCTTCTAGATAGAGAATCTGCGTATTCAAATTGCTAACATGAATGATCGAGAAATGAGCGCATCCGCTTTCGTTGCGTCCATGCCTGAAATCGCGCACACACCCAAGCGGTGCACAGGTCGTAAATCGAAGCGATACGGCTCCGATTTTCAGTCGCTTCGCGAGGCTGCGCGTATCGTACTGCCAGTAATAACTATTTTCGTATACACGTTGTGCACGCGGAAAACAAAACAAGATAACACGTATGTTACGTATCCGGCACGATAAAACGTTGCAAGAAAATGCTTACGCCAACATCTTTCGATATTACTCGTGACAAAAGAGATTGTAAATTTACGATCAGAAGAAAAGGAAAGGAGAAAAAGAAAAGACGCGACGTATGTATAACTAAATTATGTGGCAGCTTTATTTCCTATCGCGGCATCGACCTCCTCATATTGATCTTATCGCTATGATTTTATCGATTTCTATCTCGACAGAACAAAACGCCTCTTTGCCAGCACTTCCGGATATACCTACCCGACCTATTTTTTAAGAAATATTCGAAGAACATTATTTAATAAAAATAAATGCTAAAAACTTATTTCTGGTTTACGTTTCTACGAAGAAAACGCGTCCCTCCGCGGGCGTTCTCCAAGTTCTCCAACGAGCACGAGTATTTGTTTTTTCAACAGACACGAAATTCCACTCGGAAATGAAATACAACGGATTATACGCGCGATATCCCCTTTCATCTCTCTTATTCTCTCTCTCTCTCTCTCTAATCCGGCATATTGAGCTGCGTAATAATATAATCGCAGATTCGAAATCGCGCGTGTTAATAACGAGGAAACGACGTCGTTATTACCGGCGTGCCGCCGCGCCGCGCCGGAAGGATGAAAATGCGGTTGGCCGATTGGCCATTGCACTCGACGATGTACCGCGAGACAGAATCGACCCTCCACCTTCGTCCCTTCTCTCCCCACCGTCTGTCTCGTTTTGCTTTTTTTTTTCTTCTTAGCGACTGTGTAACCACTCCCTGCCCGGTTCGGTCGGACGTTCGCCGTCTGCAAGAACGCGCCGATCTACCGTGCGTGAATCGTCACGCACGATCGACGCAATCGGCACGACACGTTTGTTCCTTCTTCTTGCGGCGGTTGTTTGAGCTCCCAGCGGTTTATAAAATCAACACGTGATAATGAGAAACGTTTAGGATCCAATCAAATCTTTCTTTGAAGAACCCATTCTAATTGTAATTATTATTAAGAAGAAATATTTAGACGAAAGGTTATATATGTATATTGAAAAAGAAAGAGAGGATTGCTCTTTATCTCAATGGAAGATCGAGAAACGTTGGAAAGTATGTGATTTTTATGTCAAATATTTCTATACATATATGACGTACAATTTAGAATTTATTTAAGTTTGTCAGATGACTCATCTTATATAACACGAGTAGTTCGACATTATAAGTAGCGAGAAATATTTGACTTACGTAAAAGTATTTGACATCTTATAAAAAAAGACTCTTTAACTTACATCAACATAAAGATATGTCCCAGAAACATCAATTATTACTAATACTCTAAAAAAAAAGTAATACTCGTACCTATATAATACATATACAATACATATACATATACAATATATAATACAATTTTTAAAAATTCTGAAGAAAATTAAAAAATATAAATTTTACGTATAATACATAGAAATGATAACGTTTTAAAGTAGTAACAATAAAACAATAAACAAATCAAAACGACTTTATAAAAATAACATTTTTTCTTTTTTAACTTTAATCGAGACAAAAGTAGATAGTATAAGCAGTATATACAATCTAAAAATTTATGTAAAAAAAATATTAATTATCAAAATTGCATATTCTATAATATTTTATGTTTATTAACGTGTATGAAACTACGATAAGTGTACGTGGAAACGCCTGTTAAATCTATATTCAATTTAAGCTGATCGTAAATCATAATTTTCTTTTCTAGATATTAAAATTAAAATCGTGTGCGATCATATAATAGAAATTGTATTTTTTAACCTTCTCTGCATTAATGATCCATGTATGTAATTAACCTTTCAATAATCGATGATACCATAAGAAGTATTTTATGAGAATCTGTAAATGCCATCTGTTTGGTGCTACCAATAACAATTATTTTTATTTATAAATTAAAAGATTTTAGTAAATTAATTATCAGAGATAGAAATATACTGTCATTCTTGAAATAGAATGAAAAATTAGAAAATCTTTGCGAGACAAACTTCGTAAAATACTGAGTGAATTTGTGGAGAGGAGAACGACCGCTTGACGATGACCTTTTTAAGTACTGTCGTGGGAGAAAAGCGGCTTTCATTATACGGATCACGCGGGAAGACCGATAACGCAGGCGCGACACGTTTAAGGAAAATCCATCCGGCACATTGGATCGAAGGTCGTGCTCCTCAAGGTGACCTTCACTAACTTAGTCGCCCAATCCAATGGCACAGAAGCAAAATTCAGCATTTTCTAATCTCTCTCGTTTTCATTTAAATTTGCACCATGCGAGAGATCCATCAACTTTATCATAAATCCTAGAAAATAAGGAATGCAATTCTATACAGTCTTCTATTCAAGATCACGGTCAATACGATGGAAATAGCAGACTGCGACCTTTATCGGCTGGGAGATCTCATCGCGCGATTTACAGTCTGGCGGGCGTCTGTATCGCGCGATTAATCGGTCGATCTCGCGCGATCACGGCCGGATCGTGATGTTCAGCCGTGGCCGCGATTCGCGCCTACTCGAGTAACTATAGAAATAACGAATAACACAACGTGAAATGTGAACAACACATACAGGTGAACAAAAAGAAAAAGAGAAGAAAGAGGAGGAAGATAAAAGGTCAAAGGCGAACCTACTTCAACGACTTGGACGTGAAGATCAAAGAAACTCGTTCTTTTTTTTTGCATGCCAATGGGATGGGAAAACGAAGCATTCTTGTGACAATCTTAAACACTCGTTCGCGTCCGCCCACAACAAATAATATTAAATTTTATCGATGTAATTATAGTTGTATTTAAATATTTTCATTATAAAGATAATTTTATTTATTAAGGAGGGAATTTAAAAATTCAATTAAAGTTTACATTACGAAAGCTCAGCCTATCTTGCAGAATAAATTTTTTGCGACATCTAAACCTACCCATTCACAATTTCATTACGAACTCGGCACGAGTCCATATTTCTGTTCGCGCGAGATGGATCATCAACCACAAATCGCTTCAACCTGCCCGCAAAGCAGTATCGCGTTTATTTTCGTCCGATGGTAGAAGCTGGTGTGGGAGCAATTGCAGTCTTCTACAAGATATACGCGTTGAAGGTCTCATGGTAGCACTGTTAAATGTTTTTTTCGCGCTAAGAAAAAGAGTGAGAGAAAGGGGAAGAGGGAGAGAGAGAGAGAGAGAGAGAGAGAGAGAGAAACTCATCTCACTGGAAATGAGATTCGCGATTGGTGAACGGTTTGTCGAACTGCCAGTGTACGATAACTTGTCTAATCGGTGAACTTTTTGTGTCGAGCCCTCATATATTCTTTCATTAATTAAAAAGACCACTTTCGCGTTTCTCCCTCTCGGCCTGACGCAATTTTCTTTTCATATGATCTCTATGTTATAATAATCATTAACGAATCCAAAGAGAAAGTTTAACTCTTTCTGTATGAAAATTTAATTAATCTTCGTATACTTTATTTTAAATATCCGTTGTATTTTCATCCTTATATATAAAAACAATTCAAATTTTCAAAATAATTTTCTGTCAATGTCATCCTATGATATTACCGATGGCAAAATCGGAGCATTGGCATTGCAAGTATCGCGACCATGTTAGATGAATAAAGTTGATATAATCAAGCAAATCATCAGAATGAGCACTTAAAGAGCAAACTCCCTACAGAGCGAGTCATATCGTTGTCGATCTACACAAACCTTATATACATTGTATTCATCCCCAACCAAGGGGTTAATAGCTGCAAACAAAAAGGGGAGATGAGGAAAGATGAAGTATGCTTTTACTCATTTAACTCTCTAAATAAAATTATCAAAATTACTTTAAAAAAATTTGAAAATCTAAGAAACTTTAATTAAAATTAAAAAACTTTTTATAATCTATTTATTGAAGACCTAAAATTTACTTGAAAATTTGATAAAATTGAACAACAAAAGCTTCGTTAAGATTTAAATTAATATTATTATTTGAAAACAATCAATTAATCAAAATTAAACATGTTTACTGGAAATATTCTCGTGGAATCTTTTTCAATTCAAATTGCAGAAAATAAAATATTATTATATGATCTCTGTAATATTTTTCATTACATTTTTTCTCATATGTTTAAGTGCCATTCTTTTTTTTAAAGAAATCACATGCGCGTTGCGTCACTCACCGACTCTCCGGAAGACGTCCTCTCCCTCTTTTAATCCTTTCTTTTTAAAGAACGAAGCCGCACGAAGCGATATGCACTCGCGCTCGCTCGCACGTCCGCTCGGCGGAACACTTCCGCGCTTCCGGTCCTCAACTTTGCAAAGACGAGACCGGTTTTTTAGAGAGAAATCCGCACCGGACGAACAATAGTGACGATAACAACGATGTTGACAACGATGTCACGGAGCTCAATCGTAGATCCTCTACATGAACGTGCGGCGTCTCGTGTAAAAATGACGATGATGTTCTCTCCCGACGAAACGTCTGCCGGCGGTACAAGGGCGTCGAAGGTCGCAGCTGCGCGTCGCGGCACGCAGGTGCGTCTCTGTCTCTCTCTCTCTCCTGCTTGCTTCCTCACACATTCGGTAGCGCGCGCGATTTAGAAACTGCTCGGATGTGACACGCCGATGAAAAGGATGTATGTCATTTTATTATCATTGAGATGTGCGAGAAAATAAAGATTTATTGTTAAAAGACTGAAAGAGAGAGAGAAAGAGAGAGAGAGAAAGCAAAATAAAAGCGATTCGCTTTCTTTCTCTTTCTCTCTTTCTCCTCTCAATTAATCGCACGTTCTTACTGTAGTTAGGATGAAATAAATAGAGATTATAACTTTTCTTTACTTCAAAAAATTTTGGAATCATAATTTTTCAAAACTTTGTAAACAACCATTAAATTATTCAAGCTTCCAAAAAAGAAAGATGAAAAAAATTATTAGAAAGTGCAGAAAAACGATGTCATAATGCATAATGTATGCAGCAGTGTTTAATATTTTATTTTATTAATCTTCCACAAGTATCATATTATTTCTAATTAATAGTAAAGTATAAAAAATAATGCATCGGTATAAAATAGTACAATGAAAATTATTTCTTAATAAAAATTCATTTTTTGTTAATAAGATTACTCTCATACGTCTTATGATATCAATTATAGTTTCTCTATATTTAGAGATATTATACATAAAAAAAGACTATTTTAAATTTATACTAAAAGTTTGTTTGTGAATTTGAAATAATTATTTCTGTGGAATTTTTTCCTAATTAAAAATTATCGCGTATATTACAATATTTATGCAATATTTAGTACTTTATTATTTATGCACAAAATTTTGAAGAGATATATGCGTATTAAACAAACAGCGATATACACACACCAATTACGTTAATTAAACCTTTAAAATCAATTTGTGCGAGTTTGGAAATACACCGAACATGTAGCAACTGGACAACTGCGCCTTCGCGAGATAAAATAATAACAAATATGCCAACAAAATCAATCACTCAATCAGTAGGTCTGTTTTTTGTAGTTGAAATCATATGTAAAAATAAAATAAATATATATTTGACGTTTAATAATAATAAAAAAAAAAGTTTTAGTCCAGTACAATAATAAAGAACAGACCTATTATTTACTCATGCAGAAGACAGTTTGAATTGTTCCCCGACCATGAGAAGGAGATTCAACAGCATGTCGAAACATGGGATCATCTTGACACGTAAAAACGTAATGCTGCGTATCGTCAGTTTGCCAATTATCGCGGCATTGTCATCCCGCGGCGGGGTGTTCACCAATCGTCGTACGTTCCTGACAGAATCGCAAGATTCGCCACGAGAGGCGCAGCGTCGCGACGCTCGCCTTCCTCGTTCTCGTACGGTGCAGCTGCAGATTATGCCGCATTGCCGCAAACGCTCGTCATCGACGCGACCCAGGGGTCGTAGCGGCAGCGGCAGCGGCGGCGGAATACGAGACGGAATTGGAACGAAATGTTGACGCGAAACACGTCGGTGTCGTCGCAAAAGACGACGATGAGGACCACGAGGCCGGGTCGTAGATAAAATTAAAAGAAGAGAGAGAAAGAGAGAGAGGAGAAAAATAAGAAACGAGAAAGAAAAATTAAGAAAACGAAACGGAAATCCGCTCACCTTGATCTCCGTCAGGTACCTGACGAATGGCAACGCGATCATGAACATCCGTCGGCTGCCCGGTTTCATGTACCACTACAAACTCGCGGCGATCCTCCTGGTGTCCAGTCTGTTTCTCGTCGTCTACCTGCTTCTACATTGGGGCATAATGTGCACGAATCTCGAGGCTTGGCGTCACGTGTCTACCGTGGTGAGTTTCACTGAATGTTACTCCGATCCGGTACGGCCGGCGTACTACGTGCGCGCGACATCGCATCTTAAATTCGAACTATTCGAACGCGATACCGATTGCGCCGATTGCGCGAGGAGAGGATTGGCACGGGGTGAATACCGAATACGCGTCGAGGTAATGAAGGTGTGCGAGTGAGTCCTGCGCCGGCGAAAGGGGATGAAAGAGCCGCGAGTGGACGCACGCGTACTTTGCCGCAGCCTCCGGAAAACGGGAGTGACGGGGACAAGCGTACGTGTGCCCGCGCGATCACCCCTCAATCCGCGGCAAATTTGTACGTACAAATGTTACGATCGTCGCATGCGATCATCTCCAAAGCGACGTAGAATTACATTCGCGGAAATTTTCTCTACAGTTATATCGCTTCGAGTGAAAAGCGGAACAATCGCGTAGTCCCCGCGATAAACTTGGCACCGAGAGAATTCAAGTATAATCAATGTAATGGTCGGCCGGCAAACAAAAGTACAAGTTCAGTACAAAGATCGATTAATTCACGTTCGCAGAGGTCATTGATAAAATGGACTGCTATGATAAAAATTGTAAACCTTACATGATTCACTGATAAACTTATCGTACGGAAGAGAAGTCAAGTGTATAATACTTGGCCCGAAACTTGGAAAGTTCAGCTTGAAAATTGGCCAAGAGATAACTTATCTGGAAAAAATTTACTTACGATTACGAGTTTAGTATACATAATTTTGACTGAATAATTTATCGATAAACATTTAGAAACTTATTGACGAGAGCTTACCTATAAACTTGAATTTCTGCAGTGATAATCCGGCAAGGCTGCGTTCTAGTAACCCGAATATAGTACTCCAGATATCGATCCCTATAAAATATTCCTAAATTCGTCGAGATCGACCCACACTTGAATAACACATCTCTAAAATGTTTCGAGATGTTTAATAAAGTATTTCTTTTGATTGCATATTATATCGAATAATATCAACTAAAAATGATTACAATTTATTTGCGATTTTAATTATACATGCATAAATATGATTGATTTTTTATCGAATCGAAAAGATTAATTTACTGAAACTTATACTGACGATAAATTTATAAAAAAATACATAGATCACGTATATTAGAGTTTATTAAATTACATATAGAGAAAAATAAAATTATTACATTGGTTAAAAAAAAATTTCATCACATTAAATAATTTTTTTCTACAAAATATATCGAAAATTTTGCATCAAGATTTGCGTTAAAATTATCGTAATCAACTTTAGATTTCTTTATAATTTGTGAAATAAAGTTTCTGGGAATGTCTTTTAGAATAAGCAATTGTAGAGAAATTAAAAACTACAACGATAATCAGGCATATTGTCAATGAAGTCTTATATGTCTTAAATCCTACATGTCACTGGTCATTACATTCTAACAGTACTGTCGCTGTCTAGAATTAAGAGGAAAATCGCTTATGTAATACTTGACACACGCAAGACCGTTGTGGGACACAAGAGCGATAACATATAACATCTAATACTTTTCCGAGTTTTACTGTATACGTTCATTGAATTAAAAATTTTCCGAAAAGGTTCAAGTGTTATCAAACCATTCTAAAAATTTCGATAGTTTTCTAAAACAAATTTTTATTGTGCTTGTGAAATAAATACTGTAGAAAGAGAGAGAGAGAGAGAGAGAAAATGTACAGACTGTTATTTCACTTATTCGGCGTTAAAAAAAGGGGTCAGAGAACAAACAGTACTCATTAATATCTAATGAATATAACTCGAAAAATTGTATGTTTCCACATAAGTGGTCATTTTAAATTAAAGTTAATTAAACTAAAAGAGATAGATGGCAATATATATTTCAACTTAATTTTAAAAAATATATCTCTATTATAGTGAAAACTATCTTTATTGCAGAGAACAGAGAAGTAGTTGCAGTATTTCTTTTTAACACAAGCATATTGGCTTGATTGCTCTGCTATTATAAACGAATCGCTTATCCATTTGATGTTATTCTGTTGTATTTTTTTTTCTAGCAAAAGAGAAATGTCACGGCAGTATATACATATATATATATATATATATATATATATGAAAGCGTTCGTTTACTGATAAAACGTAATTTACAGTAATGAGAGATAAGTCATTCCGTCTTGACAGCGGTTTCGATAAGTGCCACCTCGGATGCGCAGAATGTGCAGGCACGCATGACACGCCTGTACGGGAGCCGCGAAGTCGCGCCGCGGTCCCCTCTCGAGACTGTTCCCCTCATCGTGGCCGATTGGGCCGACTAAAAATATCACACGAACGAGCCCGTGGAACGTTACGACGTTGTATGTACCACATTCACGCGTGCAATATATGCTTTACACACGAATATATGGGCGCCCACGCGCGCAAGAGAGAGCCATGCTCTTTCATCGCTCTCGATTCTCGGACTGACTCGGATAGTGTCTGGCCGAAAGAAATTGCAATGCGTGCACTGAAATAAATGCTAAAACGCGTTCGTTCAACTTCGTCATTAAATTAACATTTACTCGAAAGCAAGTAGCGCAAAAAATGCGCCAGTTTGTTCAGATAAAGACAAATAAATTACTTGCTCAGAGGCAGAGTAGTTTAATCATTTCTACTAATTCAGATAATTACCAACTTGACTTCAATATACTTCTTCTCACTCAAACTCTCTCTCTCTCTCTCTCTCTCTCTCTCTCTTCTCTTTGCGCTTTTTCTTATTTAATGTAATTTTAAAATTTAATAAACTAATATATAATATAATACAATAAATATAAAAAGAATTGCAATGAATTATGATTTATAATGTTCTAGCTTTAGCAGAATGATTTATGTATTAATAATTGTTTATTAATAATCATCATTATTGTTTAGCTACAATATAAAAAGTTTCATACACAAGTTATTACACAGCTCCATGTCATTGCGTATATTTTTGTTTTATTTTCACAGAATACATCTTTTTGGATTACAATGAGTTTGAAATTTTTTCACTTATCCGACTCTGTATTCTATTATATAATTTCTATTTCAGTGCAGTCAGCACCGAGATGGCACAGCGATGGGGATTCTCTGCGAACCATTGTGCACAGAAAAAGGGATAAATTCGCTAGCATGCGAGACGCTTCATGCGGGCAAGGAAGCTGTTTTCTCCGCGCATTGGGAAGCGACGCGGCTTGTATTCAAGGCTTCGAGGTATTCTTTCTTTCGTTCTCTTTCTACATTAGTTATGCGGGTCCAAAAGTTGCGCTTCTTTTAATTTTTATTTTTCGTATTATTTTCATATTTTGTCAATATTAAAAAATTTTAATTCTCTTGTATGAATCTTATTTATCTCGATTAGAACCAAAATATCCTCGGAGCAATTCGAGTCGCTCTATTGGGTAGATGCGACCGGTTCCCGACACTTCCCATCCGAGGAGGACTTTATCACCATGATCAAGGACTTGGTTATCAATAAACTCAACGTGACTCTTTCGCAGCATCAGCTGGAGAGACTCGCCCGGTTGCGCACTCATCGAGTCGAGACCGACGCCGTGAGACGTCGGCTGGAGATGGAAAATCTCTGGCCGCTGTTGCAAGAGAACGAATATCTAATGGCAATTTTGTACGAAGACAGGGATGTGTTTCCGCAGCCGATCGGCACGTGCGGCACGTTCTACGCGGTCGAGTACGTCCGACCAATCGAAACACCCACGACGGTACTAGCCCTGTCCGATTCGAAACCCGAGTGGGCCAAAAGGCTGAAGCTCGCCGTGATGATCCTCAATTTGCTCGAGGAGCTGGAGACGAGCTTTCCCGAGCCACTTCATCTCTGCGACGTGAAAATCAATCATTTCGGTTTACCCCTAGGCGGGCAGAAACTGAAATTCTTGGACTTGGACGCAGTCTTCCCCAAGACCGTCGTCGATCGCATTATCAGTGACGGTAAAAGCTGCGAGAAGCACGAGGACTGTGATTATTTTGACTGCCGGTCGGTGTGCTCGAAGAAAAAACGCTGCGAGTCTCCGGTCCTTAATAATAATTTACAGGTAATTGTTATATACATATTTTTAATTAGTATTTTTATAATATTTTTACCGATATAAAATGTATATTACAGCATCAAATATTTTTACAGGTTTATTTCCGATAAAATTGTACATTATTATTATTACTTTCATTGCATATTATTTCTCGTTTTCTCTTAAAGTAATTAATGATATTGATTAATAAGAAACTCTTTAAACAGGATAAGATTTTTGTTTATCATTACTAACGTTACCTCAATTTAATTATTGTACATTTTTATCACAAAAGTTATGTATGCTTACAGATTATTTGCGAGAAAATTTTTCTCGGCTGGACGCTCTCAGGGACGATAATTATTCCTGGATTGCTCATGTCGGAGCACACTACTAGCACATTGGCAGTGTTATTGCGGCAATGCGCTAATCCAAGCGGCGACATGACGCATTTACCACGTGCGGCAGCGCCAGACAGCTTACAGAAACGACTTTACAATATGCTAAGCGAAATGGAACAAGAATACTCGATATTTACGTGAAAAACTTTAACATAAAGAAAATAATTTATTTGAAATCACAAAATCAAGTGTTTCCCTTCCAATGATAATGATAAAAACACTATATAAATTTACGATTGAACATGTAAAAATACTTCTCTTTATTAGAAATCATCGAGATCGTAAATGACACCATTTATTTAAAATTAAAAATCAGCACGTACAATTTTTTTATTACATATTGTATTGTACGTATAGTATTGTACGAACAGTCGTAACAAATGTACACACTTTTGTTTTACATCACGTATAGTATAACAAAAAATCTAATAGAAGCTAATAATGCCAATAAAAATATATTGTACATATATATACACATATATAATTTATAATATTATAAATTTTATTATTTATAATTAAATATTTATAGTAAAAAATTATACAAGTATTTACGTTAGTATAACAAATATCAGATTTATTAGATCGACAATTGATAGAGAAAGTAAGTTGTAGTAATTTGATAATAAAAACTCGAAAATATCCATACAGCACACATTATCTAAGGGACGTCCTGTACGTCCTTGCTGTCCCTCGGATAAAGTGTGCTGTATATATGGGAAGCCTATCAGATAGATAGCGATTGAAGAAATTAACTTACGAATACGCTTAATTAGCAAATAAAAGAATAACACCAGTTCCTATATATAGTTTTCTTGCATATAGACAAATAAAATAATGCATTATAACATATTAACAAAGAATGTATTATAACATTATTATTTTTAACATATGTTTTAATAGATTAATTAATTTTAGCAGAATTTTATCATATGTATATATATTTATGAATGTTGTTATTATTTATTTCTCTTTTCTTACTTTAAACTCATGCAAGATGGTCAGTATTTCGATGTCAGAAATGCCTTAAAATATAGAAAGTTGAATCAATTGTGCAGAGTATACTTGAGACTTGTATATTGCGCGCGCGTGTATATGAATGTGTGTGTATGTACATACGTATGTATGTATAAATTGTATGTGTGGCAAATGAAGAAGTATTACTTATCATAAAATGTAGGCAACAAATAAAATTTTTAAAATTGTAGCAATATATTTTGAGCGATATTTGGAGTTTTTATTTGTACCATTACTTAATTATCTATTTAATTGTCCTGATAATTAGTTTATCAATTTATAAGAATTTAATTATCGCAGTTCAAATTCCATTAAACCCAAGATTTTAGAAATTCTGTATGTAATCTGACATTTTTTAAACTGATTTATTGTCTTTTGTTTATATTTTGTCTATTTCTAAAAATTTAATTTTAAACTCATTTGTCAGTTACAATGGTTGAGAAATTTTTATGTTAATAATTATTATTAATACAACATATATATACATATGTACATATAACACTTATAACAGCTAGAGAGAAGCTCTGCTTGTAATATAACAGCTATAGAGGAGCTAGAGTATATAAATTTTAAATTACTTAGCAGTCAGTAAAATATACTTTGACTTTATCGACTGTAGAAAATTCTCTATCATACATACGGATGCATTTATTTATAGGCAAATGTATTATTTGATATTTCTTGTTCATCGAATATTGAACAAAGATAAAATAATACATCTGCAGCAATGACTGGATAAACAAAATGTACCCTCTTTATCGACAAGGAAAAATATATCTCATATAGCGATTTTGACTGGTTTGTAACTTTATACAGAGCCGGTGCAAATACTGCAAATGTGTATAGTGCCAGATAATGTGCAATGTTTAGTATGTACACTTGTTTTAGAAAGAGAGCGCAACTATGAAAAGTTCACTTCTTTCTCTATAACTAGTAGTGGAATATTCGACGTAGCATACCAGCAGAAAGGATCCGAGAGCGGACATGCCGGCCTTTTGGCTGTAACGCTAAATCGTTCTTTAATCTCATTTCAAAAT